CCCTTGTCACAAATTACTCTTACCAGCTCTTGAACAGCACTTTGATACGGCGTATTTTTAACAGCTTTTTGTTGTTGAATTTTAATAGGCATGTGTATATATAACCTAGTTTTCTTAAAATAAATAAAATAGGAGGAAAAAATGCAGTATGGAGCTTTTTCAGTGTATAAAGCCTGCTTGATAATTTTTAAAACCACGGTGGCGTTACCATCATATTTCTTGTTGCTTGTAAAACATTTCACATGGAATAACCATTCAGTGTTTAAATAACTGCCACTTTACTGCTTGGTCATCTTTAGTACAATGAAATTTTTTACATGACATGAAATGATGATAGTAACAGCTGTGAGAAATTGGAATGAGTCCAGCTGAGCAGAGTCAACATGGCTAGCTAGAGGCTGGCAGACATGATGTATGAGGAGCAGCAGAAACAGCTAGGTTTGTTTAGCCTCTGGAAGAGAATGTGAAGGAGACGTCTTACTGCTGTCTTCAACTACTTAATGGGTGATTGTAGAGAAGATGGATTCTTTTTGGAAGTGCATGGTAAAAGTATAATGGTCAGTGGATACAAACTGCCTCAGAAAAAATTCATTCTGGGTTTTAGAAAAAAAGAATTTCAAAATGAGGGTGACCAAGGACTGAAGCAGTCACCCAGAGTGGTAGTGGAATCTCCATTCCTGGAAATACGTAAAGTTTTGATCTAGGCAAGGCTCTGAGCAGCCTGATTCAGTGTTGAAATTAGCCTTGGTTTGTAAGATGAAGGTGAGGTCTCATCCAGTCTGAATTGTTCTATGATTCTAGGCAGATGCTGACTTTTAAGAAATTTTTTTTTTTTTAGCGTTTCAAGATAATGATGGATATGCATGCTTAAATAATTATTCATACTGAGAAGAGAGAGGGTTGTTAGTCATTCACATTTTTCTGTTGTTTTGAAATAAACCATAGGAGTTTCTATAAATGCTTCTGTAAGTGATTCAAAAAAAGTGACCAGGACTTGATCCTTCTTAAAGTTTTTGGATATACATTTTTGCCTCAGTTTCTTATTTGGAATAAACTTGTTTTCATTTTGCAAACAGAAAGGAATTGTGCTTTACAGAACTTGTCAAGTATCTTGAAAACTTGTCAGATAAAAGTTTGGAGTTTGACATGGTTTCTGTAAGTAAAGGAATGTTATTTGGAGCCCTGGAAAACAGGGAACATAAATTCACCCCAGACAGCTTTAACTTGCATAATCAGCATTTGCACGGCAGGTCACACTTGGAAACCCTGGCAGTTTTCCAGGCCTCGTATTTATGCACAGATGGACTGTTTTTTGCCAGTGACTCTCACATATAGGTGTAAAATGGGTTTTATTTCACTGTTTGATTTGAAATATCTTTTTTTTTCCCCCCTCAAAAACTGGAATTACTGTGACCACTGAAAAGAAACTAATTTTTTCCTCAGAATTCACTTGTGTCTTTGTTACATCTCATGTCTTTAATTCAGCACAGGATTTGGGGTGCACATGCTTTTCCAGGCTGAAGAAATACAGAGCAATGTGTAACAGTTCAATTTTTCTCCAGTTTTTTTAAGAACTGTTTAAGAAAAAAATGGAGCAGAGTTCATCAGCCTCATCAGTTCAAACATCTTTCAAAATGGAATAGAATAGACTATTCCAGTTGGAAGGGACCTACAACGACCACTAGTCCAACTGCCTGACCACTTCAGGGCTGACCAAAAGTTAAAGCACGGTGTTAAGGGCATCGCCCAAATGCCTCTTAAACACTGGCAGGCTTGGGGCATTGACCACCTCTCCAGGAAGCCTGTTGCAGTGTTTGACCGCTGTTTGCGGAAGGTAAGCCATCAGCGAATGACATCAGCATGATTAGGCCATGCTGAAATGCTTTTCTCTCATGGTCTTGCCTGCATGTCACCTTGTCTAAGGCGTTCTTCCTATAAGAAAAAAACATTGGAAGGAAAAGTACATTGCTAAGAAATGCTCTTGTACACATAGAAACAAGAACCATACTGTCTTCAGATGTCCTTCTTCCTGCAGACTCAGTTTATGAAGTGTTCTCTTAAGTCTTTTATTGTCTGTACTTGTTCAATTAAAAAAAAGTGTTCAGAATGAGGCCTGTTTGTTGCATATGGTGATGGACTACATAAAATACATGGCATTTCTTTTCTGCAGTTTGATTCAAATGATGTTCATAACGAACGTGCTTGTTCGGACAACTCTCAAGGATTAACCTTTCAGGGAGAAAAAATCTTGCTGGAGGAAGTGGCGGGAGGGGGGAAGCCAGAGAAACAATTTTAAGGAAGGATTTAATGCTTTTTAATATCTTCCTCTTCTTTTTGAGTAGGAGAACATCAGATTCTTCAGACATCAGAATTCCTTCCCATGGGAGAGGAAGATCTTACTTATTTAATGTCTAGCACACTAGCTTTCGGTTTTCTTCTGTATGCACTTTTGCCAAGTAATTGCTCACACTCTTTGTACTTAACTAGTGCCATTGCTTGCTGATCACTCAGTTCGTCCTGCTTCTCTGGCTCGGCCCCCCTCTTCCTCTCTCCCTCTCCCAGTAGCTCTTCTGCAGCAGACTGGGAAGGAACTGTGTTACTGGGGCCATATTTGTCCCCAATGCAAAATTCCACTTAGGTAGCTGTAGACTTTTAACCTTGCCATTGCACAAAACTACATTATATCAAAGCATGCTTGCAGGTTTGATGCAAAGTACCTTAATTAGTGGAAATGAGGCATGTCTGTCTGTTATCCTTGTGCACACTGACAAAACTTCAACAAGCAAGCATACAAACAAAAAATGGGAGGAGTGAAAGAAGCACACTTAAAAAGAAAGATATGTGTAATTTTAATTAAAAATCAAATAGAACTTCTAATTAGGAAACGTATGGAAGTTTGAAGTAATTTCATGTATAGATTCTGGCTGTTCAAGACTCGTGTACTCATAAAGGCACTTTTCATGGCAGTTGAGTTGGGACAAACTTGCCCTGGTGCAGATGCACCTAAAATCAATTTTGTGTATGTTTACCCTACTTGGCACTATATATTACTTTACTCAGGCAAAATAATAATTTTTTTCTGTTCATCTTTTGCCAGTATAACTGTATCTGTATGAAAACTTTTGGCGGCATTGTTGTGTGGGTTATAATTACAGTATTTTTCATACTTGTAGCCAGCATAAGTGCTTCGGTTAAAATTTCAGTTTGTAGACCAAATGTTGGCCTATCTATGCATATAACTGGAAGTAGGTAATAAGAAGTTGGTTTGTTTGCTCATTTATTGTTTGCCCAACTGAGGATGTTCACATGATCTGGTAAAAAAAGAGGAAATAAGCTTTCTGAAAGGGATATCAGATGTTTTGGCATTTGATTGGTTTTTCCTGTCCCTTAAAGGGGAAAAAGTAAATAAAATCTTTCTTTGGCTTTGCTTTGAAGTATTTTTCTGTCTGGTACTCTGTCATGCTTATATGGGACTTTTGGTTAGTCAAAATATATTACCTTTTGACTGTTATGAATATCTTGAAATTTATACGTGATAGTTCAACAAGATTCAAGTATTTTACCATCTAAAATTATACAGTTGTTTCACATCCTATAATTTAATAGATGTCATGATCCTGAAATGATAAAGGTAAAAATATTTCTACATGCAAAGTATTACTGTTTGGCAAATGTTCACTTCTTTTTAAATCAGCTTACCTTAAGAGGAAGCATTAAAGGTAGCAATGTCAGCACTATGGCCTTTTTTTTTTTTTTTTTTTAAGCTACTTACAACAAAATACACATTTCATTGTGGATATTCCAACATGTATACCTTTTTTTCATTATCGGTTGGTTCTGATGCCATGCTTCAGAGGATCTAATTTTTTACAAAATAGACTGGTTAACCGTCTCTCTCAGGTTTTAGGAAATATTTTACCTATCCTTGGGATTTTTGTGTACAAAAGAGAACAAAGGCATGTTTCCATCAGATGAAAAATATGACTTGTAATAACATAATAAAATATCATTAAGCTTATTTGAAAAT